GGCAAGGCGTTAGACAGTAGATCTAAAGTTCCTTGGTTTGATCTCGGATTATTATCCGGTAGTTCAGCCGGGCACGAAGCTCAGAAACACACAGGGAAGTGGGTGTTGCGGGTTGCTCCTGGTACTTCTCTGATAGCAGAGCGGACTGTTGGAGCAACCCCATGGTTATTGTGGTCTGCTTCGGCCGACATGCTGTCGGGGCGTCGTGATTGAGTGTGCAAGCGATCCTGAAACCCCCCATTAACACGGGGGAGGTTTTGTTGGGTCTTAGTGGGTAGTACTACTAATAGAGTCCTACATAACCATCTGTATTGTTTACAGGTGGTATGCGTAAATGCATATTCCAACATAAAAAAGGCCGCTTAGGCTCTTCACAAGCATTTCATTTAACTATTTCGTTAACATTCTCAACATTTCTTAGGGACACTGTAATAGCTTTTGGTGACCAACAAAACCTTTGAATGTATTATATATGTTATTTGTTGGAATTTTGTGAAAGGTTTCATAAAATTCCACATTAAACCTAGATTGCTTTAGTAAAAGGCTTGTTCAATGTTTATTACAATTTAACCTTCAGATATGCTTTATAACCTCCTTGTGGACGAAAGAATAATATTAATAATATCTCTTAATTTCAGAAAACGATAAAAACAACATTTCCTATACGAAATAAAGATAGGCGCTGTTCATCTGTCTTTGAATGGATGTGCAGAACTGGAGGCTTGTCCTACCTATTCGAGTTTCTGACAAGAACTGAAAAATTCAAAACAATTGAAAACTGGCGATGATATTCTATCATTCTTTAAACGGCCACGTAATGACTTTGGTTCTCCTGTGAAATCTCACTGGCCATGTAGAATTAAATGGAATAGAGAGTGTACTACGTAGGTCACTATTTAAAATATCCGTTTTAAAACGTATAGATTTTAAAAAATATGAATATATAATTCAATACAGCTTGCGATGGAAGTATCCATTTCAGTACTTAAAAAAATTAAAAATATTCATTCAGTAATAGGTTTTCTTACAATTGAATGAATGAGTGAATATGAATATGTTGGGACATTAACACACAGGACCATCTAGTTCCATGGTAAGCTACGAGGCTCGTGTTATGGATACCTGATAGTTGATACACTAGACATATATTTATATGTACTTTAAATGCATACATATTATAAATGTACCATTTAAATGAAGCAATGATATTGAAAATGCTCATGATTTTTTATATTTTATTGAAACTTTTCATAGTAATCAAATATATTTTAAAAGAAATATATTTCACTGAACACGAAAATAAACAAAACAATACAGTATACTGCTGCTGTACAGTAATCCTAAAAAAACCTTTTTAAATAATGTAAAACTTAGTCATACGAAATGAAGAAATCTAAGTCCTCTAATAATATTACAGGACTTAGATTTCTTCTATTATATTATAATAGCAGGCTAAATCAATAATCTGCCGATTTCCACACGCCGAAGAGGCAAAAATGGTTCATAAACTTTATAGACGATTTTTGCCTCTTCGGTTTGTGCAAATCGGCAGATTACTGAATTGCACACTTCTCAGGATGTAATTAGCCCACCATACCTTAATCTGAAGGTTTCAAGTATTTCTACCATATAAAATAAGTTAATCTGTCGCGCTTCAGTAAATTCCAAAATCCCCTCTTGGGCGCTTACCAAGGTCGTGCAGAAGACCCGAAGTGCGATAACCAGCACAGGCTCATCTTCTACGACATTTGCAGTACTTTATCTTAATTTTATTTGCCGCGACGTTTCAATATTCAATTTAGAGTTAATTTTGTTAAATATGTAAAACAGTATCAATTTCATGTCATACCATAATGTGCACCAAAATGCCGGCAATTTTTTCACTACTTTCACTGGCATAGCTCTTACGTTACTCATAACTTAATACTTGAAGACCTCTTTTTACTTCTTTAAATGACACATAATATATTCGGGGATGTTCCAATAATGTTTATTCTTTCCAAAACGTATTAATTTTTAATCCCTTCAACCTGAGAATCTTTAAAGACATTTAAATAGTATTCTTAAAAGATCAAAGTTCATTTTATTATATTATATTTTTCAATAAATTTTGAATACATTTTTATTTTGACATAAATAACATAAGCATGTAGGTACGAAGATAATAATGACGACAGAAGTAAAGTGAATGCAGTGAACGTAAAATATTGGGTAGAAATAATACGACAACTCATTTTAATAATTTTATTACTCGGATACTGATAATTATTCACTCGACTCTTCTGACACATCTATACTGATATTATAAAGAGGTAAAGTTTGAGAGTTTGTGAGATTGTGAATTATCTAGATGGTGCTGTGTGTTAATGTCCCAACACACACACACGCATATATATATATATATAATATTTGAAATCACAAAACTAGAAAGAAACTCAAGTAGGTAGATGAAATAAAAATACTGGCCGGCGGGCAGCCCTGTCGCGTGGTTACCGCGCGGCTGTAGGTAATTATTTCAAGGACAGGGCCGAGTTGCAATACTATATACATAAAAAACATTACCGTGCCCGCGGCTACGCTCGCGTGGACTAAAAAATTGGCTGAGTTTTAATTTCTATTGAATTTGTATGTTGTCTTATCGAATTTTTAATATTATGTCTAGAGTAAAACTTAGTCTATGCTAAAAAAACCAACCATAAATATACCACATCTTCTTCTTCCTCTTCTTTCTGCCCATTTCCCAAAATTACTTGGGGTCGGCACAGTACGTCTACCATACTGCTGATTGGTTTTGGCAAAAGTTTTACGACCGGCCGTCTGCCTGACATCAACCCTCTTTGATGTGTTAGGGGTGTGCCAAAAAATGGCGCTATTTTTTTTCATCGCTCTCACCTCAAATTATCTCAGAAAATGTCCCAACAAAGCTCCTGTTAAAAGCTGAGCTTAAAATTCCAATTCTAAGAGGTTCTCCATCGAATTTTAAGTTTTCCCATACAAATAACATGGAAAAAAACGTTTATTAATAATTTTTTGCCCTGCAAACTGTGACGAAAATATTTTTCAAAAAAATGAATGAATGGACCTTTTTTAGTTTTAAATTTACTTCAAAAAGTTACATTGAGTCGAATTTCTATCTTCAATATTTGATTTGTTATACAGCTATGAAGTTCAAATTTACGGTTTTTTGAATTTTTAGCTAAACTGCAAGAGTCACAGAAAAATGTTAAATAGCAAATTTGTAGTACGTTTAAAATCCTATGAAAATGTCTTTATAAACTTTTTCATATCATCAATAACAATAAAGTTACAGGCTCACGAATATTTATTTTTTCAAGTTTTTGCTTTTACGAAAATATGTCAAATAAGTCTGTAACTATTAATTATTGATAATACAAAATATCTGATATATCCAATGTTGCAACAATTTTTTTGTTTAATTATCGATATTTCAGTTTGTAAGAGCAAAAATTTAAATATATATATACACTTCAAACTTAAATGAAAACAGAGAATAATCAGCATGGAAAACTAAATATTTTCTAATCTAGATACCAGATAAAACTGATACACTACACATAAAATACTTTAAATAAATACAAACAATAGATTTACCATTTAAATTGAAGCAATAATACTGAAAATGCCCATGATTTTTTATATTTTATTAATACCTTTCATAGTTATCAATTACATTTTAAACGAAAGAAATAAAATTGACAGAACACGAAAATAAACAACAGAATGCAGTATACTGTTACTGTACAGTAATAACTTATTAAAATAATGTACAACTCAGTTATACAAAATCAAGAAATGTATGGCCTGTAATATCAATAGCAGCCTAAATCAGAGATTAAGTTCTTGTCACTGTCATATTTTGTAATACTTATAGCCTGTTTAAACTGCGTGGATTAGTTAAATGTTATTTATATTACGGCCTTCAGATTTCATTTTCTTTATCATATTAATTTACATACACCTAAAACATAATATACACATGATTAATTATTTTATTCATTAACTTGTTTTAGTTCCTGGTTTGACTAAAGCTTTCTACAAAATATTAAGAAAGCAAAAAGATCCGCTTAGTAATTTAATAGGTCCCACATACAAACTATAACCTTAGCATATTAACCGAAACCCAACGTTGTAAATCGGCAATTTATAATGCTATTGAATCTTGACTCGAGTGAGGAGGAACATTGTTACTCAACATTGTAGCAATTTTGAATTTGAACATTCTATATATTATAAGAAATTACTTATTTATATATTTTTTAATTACCTCACTGAGTTACGACGTTGTTTTTGCATATATAAATAATAATTAATAATTATGACATAAAGTTTTTTTATTGTCAATCTATCTTTGGAAGTGCATTTTTATGACTGTTGACATATTATCTTAGTTAAATAAACAATAAATTTCTAAAATATACTTACAAGGCAAAAGGCAGTGGTAGCCCAGTGGTAACGCGCTTACTTGGGAAACCGAGTGAAGCGGGTTCAAATCCCGGGTCTCGCACCTCTTATATTTTCATGTGCGAATCATTTTCAACATGATTACCACTTGCCTTACGGTGAAGGAAAACATCGTGAGGAAACCTACATGTCTGAGAGAACCAAGTAAGTATTCGAAAGACATGTCTAGTTCGCCAATCCGCACTTGGCCAGCGTGGTGGACTATGGCCTGATCCCCCTAGTATTGAAGGGAGGCCCGTGCCCAGCAGTGGGACGTTAAAAGGGGCTGAATACACTTACCAAGCTAACCAAGTTAAATATTGCAATACACTTCATATAATATTCACAACTAGTATAAAATATTTATTTACATTGATTTTAAATGCAAATATTGTAAGTCGCCCAGAAATATACTATCTATATAAAGAAATGTTTCTGTGATATGCCACATAACTTGCTATTTTCTTCGTAATTTTAATTAAGAATTTTAACTAACCAAAGAATAATTTTAACTAACCAATGTTTTTTAAGTTTTCTTAATCCACAGTTAATCTTCTAAATGAGCCCGGCATGCCCAAACATTGATCGTTGAATTTTTCTTCACTTCTATATAATTCATCTGTGCGGGCCTCTCTCATTTCATTAAAGTAATCACTAAATTCTTTAGAACTTAACTCATTTTTAAGCTTCTCTGAAAAAAATAAATATACTTATGTTATTTTTGCGGCTATTACGTTCATATACCTGTCATTCGATTTTTGTCTGATTGTTTACCTACATATTATGGTGTTGATTTATCTGTTAAATGAATGATATACAAAAAATAAATTTTATTTTATTCAATACCTAAATGTAATAAGTTCACCGTAATAAGTTTAATGATTTATTAAAGATTTGGATAACACTAGATTAAAAGGGCCAAAGCAGTCCAAAATTAGAGAAAATATTGCTAAATACATTAAAAAAAATATGTCCAAATTTTTTGAAATCTGTCAAAAATAAGACTGGTAAGAATTAATTCTTCATCGTCAAATATTTTTTGTTAGAAATCGAAGTTAATTTTTATGTTTATTTTAAGGTTGCTATAATAAATAAAGGAGGCTGTTGCTATTCTTCCGATAATCGGATGAATAAAAAATATATTATTTGTCCGACTATTATCGGGTTGTAAGAATATTTAGTATTTACCACTTTTTTTTGTTTTCTAATGCATAATAAGTTTTTATGTGCAGGAGTTTCTTTATGTAACAAAAAAAATCTAAATCCTAACTATTTTTAAGTTTAAGAATTTGTATGTGTAAATAGTGATTTTTAGGTGCAGGAATATGCAAAAAAAAACTTTAATCGACGAGCTCGAAACTTATTTTTTTAAATCCCAACGATTTTTAAGTTCGAGAGTTTTTAAAGTTAAAACATTATTTTTAGGTAAAGTTATGACCTAATTTCAACGAAATTTGGTGAAGTGATAACTTATTACTCGGGTCAACATTCTGAATACCTTTTACTTCAAAAAAATCTTTCTATCCTACGGGAATACACAATAACTGATTTTATCGATCTCGATAGATGGTTATCGGTCTTGCAAAGGCCTACAGAAAAATCTGCAATAGTACATGCCTATCTCCTATTCCTTTAATAAAACGTACTGAGTCATATCCATGTGCGCGTTTCACGAAAAAAGTACTCAACCGATTTTAACTAAATTTTGTGTTGTGATAACTTATTACTTGCGTCAACATTTAGTTAGTTATTTATTTATATTTATTTATTTCCCACCGGAAAACACGATAACTGGTTCTGTCGAGTCAGCCTTAGAAATTTATATGGCTAACGCTGGCTAAACCTTAAGAGATACAGCAAAACAATGTACTACAAAATTGTACTCGTAGGTCTTAAAAAGGTCTACAGAAAATCTGCAATAATATAAGTCTATCTCCTAAGGTACACTCGCAATTTACATTCAAAACGTACTTAGAGACGCACCCAAGCAAAGCGAGCGCTAGTTACTAATAAATTTTATTAAAATAATTATATTTAATTTTTTAATCTTAATTACGGTATCTGCCACAACGCCAAAGAATCGAAATCGTATATGTGTATCCATCTCCATGACACTCGCTATCTATACTAATATTATAAAGAGGTAAAGTTTGTGAGGTTGTAGGGGGTAATCTCTGGATCTACTGAACCAAGTTAAATGAAATTTTGTAAGAAGATAGTTTGAGACCCTGGGAAGGACATAGGTTTTTATTCCGGAAATCATCCCTTAAAGGGGTGAGAATGGGGATGAAAGTTTGTTTTGGGAAGCAAGCTAGGGGACGAAGGCGAGCGAGAGTGAGGGTGAGTCGCTAGTATTTTATAAAGGACAAATAATTATTTTTTATTCATCCTATATAAAGAACGAATAGACACTCCGTTTTTTAAATACAGTTATTTGTAATAGGTATATTCAAAGCGCAAAGTCTAAATATTGCATAAATACATAGAAAATCTTTTTGCTTTAAATGTAAACGATACCTACATAGTACATACTTATAAATTCTTTTTTATAAAAAGTGGTAAGTATTTATTGCTACCATATTGGTTTCAATTGATAAACTAGTACTCCTAAAAATAGGTACTACACTTAAGATTTCGATTTTATACTAAGAGGAGAAGTTTAAGTTAAACACTATAGAAGAAAGTTGTTTTCTTTTGATATAAAGGAAAAAAAGTTGTTTCTTATTATTATAAATTTTATGTCCATTTGTATACTTACTACTAAGTTCCTTTATAGATAACTCCTTTCCACCGTATTCTAATGGCAAATCATCTTTCGGAATTATATCGTGTAATTGTTCCATATCTTTGAAGACTTGTATTCGTTGGGATATCTTTGAACTTACAGCTTGCTTTATAATTGAAACAAATGCGTCAATTGCTTTTGAAGGTGTTATAAAATATAAGCCTTTTAATCTCATCCCATATCCTTCCTGAAAATAATCATTATTATCGTTATTACAACGATGAATTACTATTTAAAGTAATAGTATACAAAGTATAGTAGTATACAAAGGTTTTTGAATAAAATATCTTTTCGTATTTTTTCACAGTCCGGTCATTTTTGTGACCCCCTCTCCCGTGACCATGAATGCTTTAGCATTCGAAACGTCGAGAACCAAAAATTAAAAGAAATCCGCGCAAAAAAAATTGTTTTAGGTATTTAAAATGTTAAATATTAGCGTAAATCTAAGAAAGTATTAAAACATGTTTTAATTAGTGATGAGATGAGCGATATTCTTATTTTTGGAATCGGCCAAAATAAGCCGAGATTAATATAATAGCGTTAAAATATAAAGTTGATAAGGATGAACGCGAAACAGTTATGAAAACTTCCGCATCTCCAACATTAAAGTCCTTAAATATAATCTTGGATTTGTTGCACTATAGGATACTGAAAGATATAGGATAATTTTTATCCTGGAAATCATCCCTTAAGGGGGTGAAAATGGGTAAAAATGTTTGTATGGGGACTCAACCTATGGGGACTCAACCTAACCTCTAGTTTACTTATAAATATACTTAAACAAACACGCTATATATTACACTGACGTGGTAAATAATGGTTATTTATCTTTACTTCGTTATTTTGTTCAGTGCAGTTAAAATTTAATATCTTGTTTTACAACGAACCATAAAAATATAATCTGTAATAAAATATTAATCTATACATTATATATTTATACTTATAATAAAACTGTAGATGCGATTGTCTGTACATAGAAAAAAATTCTAAATACCAAGTCAGGGTATGTAAGAATAGAAATAGAAAAAAAAACAGTTTTTTCATTTTTTTTGTTTCTCTGTCTGTTTGTCCGTATGTACGGGCAATTTTTTTAAGCTGCTGGGCCGATTTAAATGAAATCGTGCATGGTGGTACGTTATATCCCCGGTCAAAACTTTAGATATGTTCATCGCGGAAAATTAAAGAGCTCCCGTCAGATAGTTAACTATAGTAACTTATACAGCTTAGTACACAACAACTTATGCACCTAATTAAGTAAAATTTGGCATGCTGATACCTTATATAAATTTATAAATCCCATAAAAGTGACGGGTTCTCGCGGGAAAGTAAAACATTATAAAAACAGTGTCGAGCATAGCGTCTTTCATACTAAATCAATTGTGTGACAGACGTCATTTTGACCTAAGACAAAGAGTGGGAACAACACGTGGTTTGTTAATTTTGGTCCAGTATTCCCAGACATAATAAATAGGTACATACATCGATACATACTAAATTTGTCGTCTAAGATGAATATGTTAGTTAGTATTTCTTTGAAAAAGTTAGGAATTCAATTATAATTTGATAAAGAATTTTACTTACAGCAATATATTAAGTCACATGTCAAACTAACTTTGATAAATAGAATCTATAAAATGTTAAAGTTTGTTTTAAAAAATGTGAAAAGGCGAACCCGAGCGAAGTAAGGGTGGGCCGCTAGTTATAAAATAAAAATGTATATTTTAACACCTCATTTTGTCATAAATAGAAAAAAAACGCATTATAATACGTAACGTTAAGCCCTCCACGACCGCGGATACGTCGGCGTGTCAGTTAACAATAAATTTCTTGGAATTTTAATTAATTTTTAAGAAATTTACCTGTAGGTGTTAATCATGTGTATAATAAATAATGTTAATCATCATCAATGTTACTAATTCTGAGATAATATTAAAAACTGCAGATATGTGGTACAATGTAGTAAAAATATAGCACTTACAATTACAATTGAAAAAGTCTTTCGTAACTCCACCAAATTAATGGCTTTTAGAAGTTCCATGATATTGGTGTCAGTGTAGTCAAAAACTCCAATTATGCCGTTGCAATAATCATTAGCTTGAAGATATTCACATGTCTGTAGTGAAGAAAAATTTAAATTAATAATATTATATTTTAATATTACCAAAATATTTGTTCATTTTATTTTGTTATTTTTCTTAGGTGTCGACAACTAAATTGTAGATACATATTATCGGTTTTCTTATACCAATATATTAAGTAATAATTTTCAATGGTCACTTTCTTAACTAGTCCCAGATCAGCCATTCAAATAAAATAGAATACATATTTTTTATTGTGACGGTGTATTATTATTATCATTTAACAAATATTTGAGACATAAATATTGGTTGTCAATAAAATGACACACACTCACCATGATAAAGTATCTATAAATATTTAGCAAACCAGCTTCGAAACGTTGCCCTCTGTTATTAAACATGAATACTCTGTAACAGTCTTGCGTCATTTTTGGTAAGAAAAAACAACTTCTATAAAAAGAAAAGAAATACGATTAAAACAGGAAATTCGAGTTTTTAAGATAGGTGAGATCTCGTTCTAACTACAAAAAAAAAAATTCTTTGGCTTTATTTTATAACTAACTAGCGACACTACACTACACTCGATTCACTCAGGTGCGTCGCTAGATGCGAATAATTCCGTAATACATTTGTATAAAACAAAACAAATAACTAATAAAAATTACCTCCGATAAAATCACTTAAACAAAAGCATGTTATGTAATCACAAAAAAACCTATGTATACAACAAATAACGAAGATACAACAAATAAAGAAAATACGAAACAAAATTGCAACCTTTAACTTTAAAATGATTGATTACGTGAAATGAAACCAATGCAATGGCAACCTCCTAGTGTATTTTAATACACTGAAAAAATATATCAGAATTTATAACCACCTAAGTACCTAATTAGGCACACACGCAATACTCAAAACTAAAAATACTCTAGAATGCAAATACTGACTGCCGTTAGTCCAAAGAAGCATTCCCCAAACCTAATAAACAAATAACAAATAAACTAATATGCCTAAGCAGAACAAAACTAAAAACGGTGGTGGAACTTTTAACGGATCACTGCCATCTCCACAAACACCTTTTCAAGCCTTTTTTGCCTTCAAGAGGATGAAACACTAGCCCACATTCTCCTAGAATGCTGTGAACTGGTACACCTACGCGCAGAAAAACTTGGCCTCAGGAGATCGCTCCCGGAAATCTTCCAGGACACCGACAGCCTGCTAGACTACTGGGACTCTCTGGGGTGAAAACACTCGCACACCGCACAATCTCACGCACAACGGGCAATAATGCCTAAGTGCGGAAAAAGCCGTGCAGAAGAAGAAGAAGACATGTGAGCTCCCCAACTCACACCTTGGCACCTAAACTTTTTTAGCAATGAAGATAAGCGAATAAGAGAGCGAATGCGAAATGGAATATGAAATAATGTCATCGACTTACTTATCTCGCAACAAATAAAAATAAAAACAAAGAAAAGTATGATAATAATTATAATTCTGAAATAAACTCATAAAGTGTAATACTTACATGTCATTTAATAATTGAGAATTCTGGATGTCGAAATTCTCAAAAAAATCAGGCACTAAACTCCTAAACGTACAAATCTTATCTAACTTTACTTTTGATTTTTCAATGGAACCTTTAGATATAATGAGTGTCCTCTCCAAATATTCCCTAGCTGTAGGGAATAAATAGAATTTTAATAATTAACATTATTTATTCAACGTAACGCAGTAATATTCTATTTAATTCAATTTTTAGTTCCGTAGAAACTCATGAACCTAAAAATCTGTGTAACTTGATATGTTTAGATCTAAATATAACCTGTACCAAAAAAAAATCAATTTTATTAATAATTTAAAAAAAAGTGGAAATAAACAAGTCGACAATATGTCGGACGATAATTATATCTTAATCATCCGGTTAGCGGACGACAGTCAACGGCCTCATTTATGAGATAGCTACCAAATTTGAACCAAACAAACAACATACCAAACTTGTTTAAAAAGCTTGTGTTTTTATTTTTTTTAACTAGTTTTAAGATAAACAAGAATAGTGTTAATAGTTTATATAATATCTACGGAAGGGCCTATACTAAAATTGTTGTGGAACAGAACTTAAAAAAGCTTTGTATTCTAAGGGTGCACGTGCAAATGTTTTACAAATTTAATTTATAATAATTTTGCGTGTCTGCTAAAATCCCATTAAATATATCTATTATAGATTTTGAATTGTCAAGGTTTGAAAATTTCCGTTTATATCATTCTTTGGACTCACTACACTGCCTCTGTTTTAACTTAATTTGTCTCTTATTTAAATAAGATAATATTGATGATGATGATGTTCTCCTAGCCGATTCCGGCCACGGCGGCCATCTCATTGAGACTAGCCAACTGCGCAGGAGATATTATAGTGCACAAGTGTACGCGCAGACACAGGTGCACTCTCTATTCCTGTCACTCTCATACTCCGGTGGGACGACTGCTCGACACGACCAGTGAGATTTAAGGCGCAGGACCGACAGCTTTACGTGCTCTCCGAGGCACGGGGGTGAAACACCGCCAACTTCCCAACTCCGGGCTGTTACTGAGACTTACTATACAGAAAGACTCAATAACTAAACTTGGCCCGACCCGGGGCTCGAACCCGAGTGTGCAGCCGTACATGCTAGCCACTACACCACCGAGGCAGTTGAAATATAATATTAATCTAGCATTGAAAATATTAGATTTATTATTAGATTATTAAAAATATAGAAGAGGTTTTAAACCAAGTATAATATATATATATACACAAAAAATATTAAATTAATAATAATACAAAAAATTTTATGTGCGAATACACAAAAGCTAAATAAAAAAAGTGCGAAAAAGAAACAATATGATATGAATAATGATTGAAGAATATGAACGTAATTCATAATGACCTTGCTCATATTTTCATATATTTTTAATTTATATTCGAGGTGTGAGAAAATAATTTTTATTTCGGTCCAAGTAATAGGTATAACTCGTAGATTGTTCAGGAAAAAAAAAATTAAACTGATTTTTTTTAAGTTTATTTAGGCAGCTGTTCGTCCAGTGGTCGAAATTCGTATTTCTTTTTGTTGATGTCACTAAAGCTCAAGTACTAGCTACAAGGCTCAGTAGTGCCCGGCAATACAGCCGGGCGCGAAGCTAAACGCACAAGGAGGTGGCCCGCTTCGGTGGGCGGTGGAAGGCGGCCATCTTCGGAGGGCGGTGTACCATGCGGGTTGCTCCTGGTACTTCTCTGATAGCAGAGTGGACCTTGGAGCAACCCCGTGGTTGTTGTGGTCTGCTTCGGCAGACCTGCCGTCGGGGCGTCGTAGTTGAATGCGTAAGCGATCCTGCGACACCCCATTAAGACGGGGGAAGGCTTTGTTGGGTTTTAGTGGGTAGTACTGGCTTTGCCGGTGAGTCCCACATCTCGTGCGTAAATGCATTTCCCAACGTTAAAAAGAAAAAAAAAAAGGTCAACCATTTCTGATTGACATTTATCCAAGTTGAAGCATTGCTTTCGCAATGCTTTAATAGGCATATGGTGTACGAGGCTTCGTAGTAGTCTAGATAGTCTATAACTAATGAAGCGATATATTTAAAAAAAAAATTCGCGGGCTGCAGTTTAGAATTGGGGACGTGGCCCCTGGCGGAGTGGGTGGTATTTCTAGATAAGGGACGTAATAGGGAGTCGAAATGTTAAATAAAATTTTTTAATACAACAAAAGAGTCAAAAGTTATTGAGACTTAAAGTTATAACATTTCCATACATTATTTTGACATTACTACCATTTAGACACTTGGAGTCAAAACGTCACTTTCAATTGTCAAAATGATCTCCAGATGATTGTCTTTATTTGTACTTTGCGTGAAATTCGAATTTTCTAGTTTTCTAGTCATTTATGGCACTCGCCGGCCGCTACCGCGGCACGCTCGCTTCGCTCGCTCGGCTCGTGCGTTGTGGCAACTGTTCTAACCTAACCTAACCAAGATATGACGAATAATTAATAAATAATCTTAAATGTTCTAACCTAACCTAACCCAGATATGAGGAATAATAAATAAATAATCTTAAATGTTCTAACCTAACCTAACCCAGATATGAGGAATAATAAATAAATAATCTTAAATGTTCTAACCTTTTTTTTTTTTTTTTTTTTTTTTTTTTTTTTTTTATGTCGGGAAATGCATTTACGCATACCACCTGAACCTAACCCAGATATGACGAATAATAAATAAATAATTAAAAATATTCACAGATTAAAAAAAATGATTTTTTTTACTAAATGTACAATTGTAAAACAATATATTTTACATAAATCAAATAAAAAGTCATAAATGTATTTATAAAGTGAAAATAATATTTTTCTTTTTATTTATTTATTTATTAATAGTAATATTTTACCAACAGAAAAAAGCAAAAATAATCAAATATAATCTGTTGTCATTTAAAGCGGTAATATAAAACAAAGTGTCAGTTTTTGGCTTTTGTCAAAATGTAAGATCATTTTGTTTGTGTTGTGAAATTATTAAAATATTAAATACAATAAAGCATTAATTGTTGTGAAAATGTGTAATGTACATAAAAAAGGATGCGTACTATTCGTTAAAGGTATGTTTATCTGTTGTAATCACTTATTTAGGTAAAGAAATGTATGGAAATGTGTTAGATATGTTATAACTTTAAGTCTCAATAACTTTTTACTCGTACGTTTCCTCCAAATATTTTTAATATATTTTGACTCTCTATCACCTCCCCTATCTAAAAATACCACCCACTCCGAATGGTGGTAAAGAAATATATGAAAATGTATGGAAATGTTGTAACTTTAAGTCTCAATAACTTTTGAATCTTTTGTTGTATTAAAAAAATTTATTTAACATTTCGACTCCCTATCACGTTCCTTATCCAGAAATACCACCCACTCTGCCAGGGGCCACGTCCCCAATTCTAAACTTGTGCCAATTCGCGTTCCATAATTATATAATAATTACACTACGGAACTTAAATGCATAAATTTTTTTGTAGCTATATACCTCATTCCCGACGTTTCGACCAGCCAGGTCACCGGCATTCTGCCCGTGACCAGTCCCGTACCCAGTTTAAGTCCAATAGTGTATTATATAAGCGATATTTTTTATAATAAAATTTCTCTCACTAACACAAATCGACTCTATCTTTGAGTAAGCTAAAATATTTACATCACAAAGCTCTTGAGCGGAACCGTAAATTAAAACTAATAGTATATAAATAAATAGTACTTACAATAATCCTTCTTCAATAAGTGGTCTTGTTTCTTTAGCCAATCAATCAAATGATTAATACTTTCTTCCAATCTCTCCGGTTTGTCCAAATCATATTGTTTTCTAAGATACTGTAGAGTATCTACGTTAAATTTTAATACCGGGGTTTCGTGTAATACTTCCATAACCACTCAGTTTGACAGAACTAATACAATTGCTTGTCCGATACGTTCCGTGTATACTATAAGTATGATTCAGATTCAGTATTAAAATAGGCAAAACTGATCGTGTACGTCATCTATACACATAAACAAAATTGAAGTGTCTGTGTGTAATGTCCAAATAACAGCTTTTTACTAAAGGGGATATTTATTTTATTCACGTGGAGCGGATAACAAAAAAAAGTGAGGTTCTGAAATTCGTTCATATTAGATATATTTGTACCTCTAGGCGATATGAAACTATACACATAATAAGTATTTATTTTATTTGAGGTTTAGTTGTCAAGTTATGGGATTCTAAAGAATTGATCACATTGATGGATGGATTTTTTTGAATTCGTTTTTCATATTGAAGTTATTAGAAATGAAATAATAAATGGAGTGTTCAGCATAGAAAATTTACTGTTCTTTTTGGTGTTTTGATCAGATTCTAAATTTGAATTAGTTTTCTAGTATTTAGCTGGAAGTAAATATTTTTTTTATAACTTCGACCATTTTTTTCCTGCAAAAGTATTCTTAATATATCTTAATTTTATCATAAAAATTACAGAGTGGGTTCTTAATTAATTTAGCAGATAAATCAATTAGAGTACGTGTACATGACGTACTGAGCGAGGTACCTGGCGCTTGTTAAAGCCGGTCGGTTGATGTGAAGACACATTAAAACGTTGATTATATTTCAATAATATTGATAACGTATTATTCCCTACCTCTTTGTGAGAACAAAATATTAAAAGGGTTATGATTTTAAAATGTTAGCAGGTACATAAGCATATGCCCCTACGACCCTATAAGCTATGCCCTATAAGCTACCCCTGAGAAAAATGGGTACGCAAAGCGTTGAAAAATAGTTTTTTTTCAATTTCCGTCTTACTGTGACGTTCTATCGAAAAATGTTTTCTACAAAAGTTGTAAAAAATCATAAAAAATGTAAATCATAAAAAAATGAGAAAACACAATGAACAATCATATAAAAATGACAGATTCCAAATTCAAATGTAATATTTTGTTTATTTTTAATTGTAACAGTATTTATGGCCATACTATGTATATATTTCTTCAACGCAAATACATATTTGCGCTCCAAGCGTGACGTTAGTTGCGATTTTTTGTTAACGTTATATTATTTTCAGAAATAACGTAGTAATAATAAGTTGATTTTTTAATTACTAATTGTGTTTATTCAAAAAATAAATATTAATGATAAACGATAAGGTAAGACGGTGGCAATCGTCTTGTATGGACCCTTCGCCACTGATATATACGAAGAAGTTCTTAATTAAGATCTAACTTCCTGTTCGCGACTTTTTAGCGTAGACGTAATGCCCGATTTCACCAACAACCCATAAGCTACCACCTACGTATGGGATCCCTAGCTTAAAAGTCCCCTATACTAGCCCCTAAATTATTTTTTTACGATCGTCTTTAAGCCCACATTTTGAGCACCTAAATTTAGGGGGCCTTTTAATATTTAGGTGACCCCTAACTGTCAGTGAAACAGAAACTGTCCCCTAGCAGCCTCCTAACCATGCTTAGGGGATCCCTTAAACTTAGGTGACGTTGGTGAAATCGGGCATAAGCTAAGTAAGTAACTTTTGCGAAGAAATAGAGAAATAGAGATAAAAATAAAATTACTTACAAGTAAGTACCTTCAAGTTGAAACGCTGGATAATAGAGGACAGTAAAGATAACACTTTGATAGAGCTAAAAGATGTTCTGGAGCAATGGAAGGAATACTGATATCAGCTGTACCAGGAAGAAGATGATCCAATAATTATAAGAAGATGGAGTAATTATCCTGAAGAACCTGAAATACTGCTTTCTGAGGTCGAAAATGCTATTAAAAAACTTAAAACCAAGGCGGTGGGCCCAAATGGTGTCACAACGTTAATGGTACAACACCCAGGGGCCAGGACACAAAGGTACACAGATCATTCACAACCTAAATTTCTTTTTAACATAAATTGTATATATTTTAACACCTTGAACTATCTGATGAATGTTTTCGTAAAACAAAAACATAAAGCGTACAGTACTCAGATAAACAGTCGATTATATATCCGGAAAACATAACTACGAGTAATGTCTGGATAACATAAATAGGAATTAAAGGTAATACTTTATATCCGACAAAAACGTCTGGGTTTTTTTTTTGAATTATATAAAAACTAAATTAAAAGATTAAACAAAAATCAAGTTGCCAAAAATATGTTTTTTTGGATATTTTTTTTGCAAATGTTATATGCGGTTATTTTGTTACTGCGCAGTAGCGCAGTAACAAAATAACCGCAAAAGATGTACCAGACTCGCGAGACTGGTCTCGCCAGATGACGAAATTATATTTTTTCACAATTTCAACTTGCCAAAAGGACCTTCCCAAAATTCGTCACCAGCTCTCGGGCTATATAATTTTATATGCAAAACACCCGATACAGACCAAATAAAGTAGGTATAATGCATTGAAACTCACCAAAAATGTCCCAAAAACGTTTAGAAAGCTTACTTTCTTGCTTTACTTCGTTGTATAAATACTTAAAAATCCACTTCAAATGGACATTGAAGGGACAGGATAACATAAAAAATAATTAAGCTCAACAAGAACACTTCTAGTAAAGATTTCTATTTACATCGTCGGAATGCAGAATTAATTAATGGTGCCACAGCCACATCTCGCAATGAGACCCTCTTCAATCTTGCTTGTGCGGGATCTTTCACCTTAATTTAGAAGAGAACTCGTATTGCAAGCAACAAAGATTCCTAAACATTTTGTAAGCAAACAAATATACGCGCTCATCTTTCTCAAAATTTCGCCCCTTGACGTCTTTTTTATTGTCCTACCAGAACATTAAAAATGACTCACCATTGACGTCAATATAGTATTTTTTCGCTTTAAAGGCAGTTTGCTTATATTTAATTCTTCAGTGTATAATTTGATTTTATCGTTTTTTTTTTCAGTAAAACGTTGTTACAAAGCAGTAGGTATCTTTAAGATGCAAATTAATTATATTATTTTAAGTAAAATGCTAATTACTTTACTACTAATTAACAGGAAGAGTTTTATGTAGAAAATACCTTCTTTAAATATAACAAGTTCACAATAATTTTGAGTTTATTACACATTTATAATAGTGTATGTAATGTTTTAATCATTACTTATAATATTCAGTTTCCTCTTTGCAAAGTAACAAAGATTGTAAGAAATACATATAACATAAAAAATATTTGATCATTAGCACATACATTAAGCTTAATCACACTACTAACATTATGAAATATATTTTACTAGCGGTTCACCCTCGCTTCGCTCGGGTTTGTCGCTAGGTACGTTTTAAATATATATTATAAATAGTTATCACCCAGCGTTAGCCATATAAATTTTAATATGGTTGTTATGTATTCTTAAATAAGTATTGATTTGATTTTATAATTTACCGCGCATTTTTTTAATTTTTTTCTTTCATAAGAACCTTCTCCTGACAATAACAAACACAACAAAAAAAATATAGTTAAATCGGTCCAGCCGTTCACGCGTGATGGTGTGACCAAGGGAAATAGGGATTTATTTTTATATATATTTTATAAAACGTGTTTTTATGCTTGTTACTTTGTTACGTTAGTATATCGCTATATTATGTTAGGTATCTACCTACCTACCCTTGGTATCTATAACAACCGGCTATTTTCTATCTACATATCTATCAAAGTAATAACTATATTTTGGCTCGGTTTGTAATGAGCCTACTTGCTGTACCAACGGTCGCGGGTTCCAGCCCCGCTGGGGTCATTCATTTGTGTGATGAATACGAATATTTGTACTCCAGTCATGGATGTTTACATTTATAATGGTATGTATTTAAAGTTATACACAGGGTGAAACAAATCGATGGGACATGGAAGAAAAGTACCTTAAATATTGAAGCTATCAAAATTTACTCAAAGGAAACATTTCATTAATAACTACATTTTTTTTAAAGCTTACCTGAACCGGAAATCGAACCACGGACTTTTCAAATTTCGAAAACGGTGCGAGCCAATACAAATCAAAGTACACCGACTTCAAAAATATCTGATTAGGTAGGTATCTATTTTAAATGAAAACCACCGTTTGATAATTTTTTACTTTTCAGTGCCTGGAAGTCGGTTTTTATTTTATTTTTTAAAAGAGTTTATTTAGATCCGTGTCACTTACATACTTTATGTCAAGACTCTGTATGTATAATGTATATTGTATATTATATTGTCTCTATATGATTATTATTGCGGTTTTCTGTCGATAAAATACTTAGTAGCAGTCCGGAGCTGGGAAGTTGATAGTGTGAACAAACTCGTGCCTAGGAGTTCACGTTAAGCAGCCAATCTTGTGCCTTGGTCCTCACCGGTCGTGGTGAGTTCTAGTCCGACTAGAATACGAGACCTAAGATAATATACAGGGTGGAACAAATGAGAGGGACATAGAAGAAAAGTACTATAAATCTTGATAGGGACCATCCATAAATTACGACACACGAATTTATAGATTTTTTGAACCCTCCGCCCCTCCTTGTGACAGGTGCTCACTTTTGTGGGAACCTTGGTGTGACGTCACATATTTTGCAATTTTACAGCCAGAACCGAATAAAATGAACAGCAGTTCCAAAAATGTTATTTTAATAATATCAACATCAACAGCGTGATACAGCGAGCTGCTTGCTGCCCAGTGAGAATTCGCCAACAAAACAATATAAACCTTATAAAGCGTAGAGAAAGATCATTTTTTTATTTATACGCTTACCTACGGTTAATGTTTTGTATTTTAATACTTATAGAAGCATATGTCTTCATCCTGCCCCTTGTCACACAATGTCAGACTTCGTTGACTTGTTTGGTAGTTTTCCCGTGATGCGTTCCAAGACAGACAAACACAAAAATTCTAAAAACTATAGATTCGACCTCTGTATCGATAATAATGACTTTTTTAGTAAGAT